GGTACTCCAAACATTTCCACCCTGACAACGCTCAGACTCAATCCCAGCAAGAGGAAAATACCCCACCGGGATTTGACCCTCAAGAACTGGTGAAATTGATGATGAAAGAGTTTCTCAAATGCATAGAGGAGGACAGGAAACGGGAAAAGGAAAAAGCAGATTCAGCCTGACTAGTTGCCGAGCGGAGAAGCAACAACCACCTGAACCAACAAACACTTGCAGGTGAAAACCCTCAGGTTTCTAAAAGTGCCATTCTGGTCGTCTGCCACTCCTCCGACAAACCTCAGTTCAGTCCTGAAACCCTTCCTGACCCATGCCAAACTCCGGTACCTCCATTACTAGATGAACATTTGACTGCTCCATCATCATTAAACAACAAATGGGGGAGGACCACAACTTGACACAGATCAACTGTTCTACCCTCTACATACTAACATAACCTTTGACATTCTAGGGAACACCTAGTTAAACACAACACTAATACTTTCTCCTCTTCAGCACTGCTAGAACAACCTCTAGTAGAGAGGATCCACTCCACATTTGCAACACTGTTTTGCTGGTTTTTAACCTACCTTGTTTTGTTGCATCACTATGCCTCTTCATTTCTTTCTTTCTCTCTCTCTCCCTAACTAATTTGCAGTTCCAGTCCCCTCTACAGGGAACTCCTGTAAATTCATTCACAGGGCCTAAAAGTAGGATTGACTCCTTTTCCCAAATTAGTATCAATTGCTGCAGAATTATTTCTCATTTAAGTTGAAGCTAGCGCCACTACATACTCGCAATGAAGTAAACTAGCTAAATAACTAAATTTGAATTATTTCAGGCAATGTTACACTACACCTTGTGTTCTTAACCCGAACAATTTAAGCTAAAACCTGCACCAGAACTCAGTCTATGGAATGGAAATGTGGTTTGTGTCTTGTGTGTCTGTTCTCTCTCTACCTATGCCTCTTGTTCCAGTATCTGCCGATGTTCATGCCAGGAACATCACCATCCAAATGGGGGATGTGGGGAGTCAACGGATCGTTCCAGAACCGAACAAGTCACAGACCATGTTATCCTTAAAAGATTGGTTGGTGCCTACATGTCTGAGCTTTGTTTTCATTTTCAAAGCAATCCACAGGCACCCAGCAAAAGGCAATCCACAGGTCAACATCACAGTTGCGTGTTAATTAACTTTACACCTTAAAACAATAAGAGGCTCTACAATCAAAAACCCACCAAACCGGTTTTTGAGAAGTACCTTTTGGTTTGCGTGTCCTTTGGCGTCTGCAAGGAATACACATTCTCAGGCAGACACAGAAGCGATCAGAAACGCTTCCAAAGTTTAATGGACATACAGTAAAACTGTGTTTATTTGAGTAATGTATGTTTGCTTTATGTTTCTGTAGGTTTTTGTGTGTACATGTTCCATGTGTTTAACAAAACTGTTATAGATAGTTCTTGAGTAATAGCCCTCAGCGACAAATGAAATCTACAGAATGTTTGTGAAATACTTCATGTTTGGTATCGATTGAAAGCTAGGAACATTTCAAATGCATTGGTTTATATGAAGAAACCATACTATGAAAAGTGTTTATGTTATAAGACTTTATTTTAACCACTATGCTATCAAAGCAGCACCCACACCAGGTGTCAACCCGGCCTCCTAGAGGGCAGAATTGGGGTGTGACTCCACCCCGCACCTTATCTGATTGGACAAGCATTGTGTAGACCCAGCCTCTACCAAAGCCTATAAAACTTTGAACAAAGGAATTTCATCATCGTCTTTTGCCGGTCATCTTTGCCAGTCGTCACCGCCGTCGCTGCCCGGACGTCGCTCTTCTCGTGCTGTGGCCGTTACATCGCCTCGCCCGAAGCCTCGTTACATCACGGAGCAGACCGCGACCTTCACTTGCTGCCGGCTCGACCCCCGATCTGCTTGTGCAACCGCTTCAACAACAAGCCATCGGGTCAACACATCCAAACTCTGAAACTCATCCTAACTACAGGAACCCAGGAAGGACTTCGAACGCCGCCTTGTCCAACATCCGTATCCCTAGCAACCGACTAAGGAAACCCCTCTTCACCGACAAGGGAATTCCATCACGTCACTGAAGTTGCTACGCTGACCAATCAGCTTCGCCGGGATTTCCCTTTGGACCAGTCGAGGAAACCAAATTACATCAGAACGCAAGTAGCACAAACAAGGTTTCTATCCATTGCTGACTCTGGTGTGAATTATGTTTAAGTAGTAAAGAATAGCGAAATTCTCTGCTTTTATGGTTTCTCTCAGGTTGCAATGCTAAGAACTTAGCAAAGGCTAGAAGTTAAATCCACTCAGTCAAAACTCTCCTCAAACTGCTTGTGCGTGTGTGTATGTATGTGCGTTTGTTTGTTTTACGTAGATTAGTACTTTGTGTTATAGAGTAGCAATAAACTTTTGTTTCGTTTTAAGATCCGTGTTGGTGTGTTGTGTGCTTTATAAGTTAATGCCTCAGCTTCAGATACTGCTACCTTGCTTATTAAATAATTAGATACTGTTTTTATATTGTTATTGTTGGCCACGTAATAATATAATACAGAATTGCTTTACACTAAACGTTCTATTTGCTGGACAAATACTAAAGTTAAGTGTAAGCTTTAAATAATTCTATGTGAATCATGTTCGAATCTTTGATTCGAATCCCCAAAGTTTAAACATGATTTAAACCAAAGAGCTGATTCTTACAGAGTAAAATGAGTAAATGAGGGTTTAGTCATCTATATTTGCCCTTATGTAACGGAAGCCAGCTGGTGATCGCGTAAAGCTCACCCCTCAGATCCAGGGACAGACGTTGTTCTGCAATCTTATCGGAGCTTGTCTCCCATGCTGGCTCGTTACCTGCTCGGACCGGTGCGGTTACTTGCACATAATCCGTCTTTTGATGAATATGATGTTACACATTGTCTATCTTTATTGACTCTTTCTTCCATAGACGCTAAGTATTATATTGACAGCTAAAGAATATAAACTTAAGCGAAACAGGAGAGGAAATATTATAATAATAATACAAAATAGATAAACATTGACAGGGCTAAGAACAATTACGAACAAAGATTTTCAAAACCAGAGAGATTTTATGAGAATGTCACAAAACAGTTTACTTGGAAATGTTAAACAGAGAGTTCAGGTATGATTTAAGGTTGGTTATGGATGGGGCGTCTGATTTAAAATAATTTAACATGCGAATGCATTAAATGAGCGTCTCATTCATTGAAATGCAAGAACTTGTTAATACGGTGTATTATTTTTTTCAGTTTGTGATATTCAACAAGCTTTTTAATTCAAGACTTTAGGCATTGATTTTGTTCCATAGTTTACAATGTGTGATTTTGTGCATGAAACGAACTGTTCTGCCAATTATATGTTTTAGGTGTGTTGGTGCATTAGGAGTTTAGGAAACTTGTTAAATGTACTGTCATAGCAATTGTAAAAAAAAACTTTAAGATATCCATAAATTTTAATTTACTATGTCTGAGTAGCTTTATAAAATGTTTAGTTTATGTAAAAAAAAATACAGGCACAAAATTGCTGCAGTACAGACTTTATTTGCAAAACGACATTACTGCAAGATTTGCAAACAGAAAAAGCACCGCAATTATAATAAAAAAACAAAGTAATCGTCTGTATTTGGCCACATGCTCTCATCCACATCACACCGGATATCTTCTCTGGCAAGGTATCATGGGAAAAATTCTCTTGTTGTTCATTTTCCACACAAGATCAGCCCAAAGAGTCCTCTTTTAGAACATATGATCATGTAATTTGAAAAACCTGAATGTGGTTCCTAAAACGGAAACTGCTGTGATTTATGTACTAACATAACTGTAATAAGTTGATTCTCATTGGCAATGGAAAATAATACAGAGAATATATTTGTGTTTCCATGCATGATATGAAAAGCTGTTCAATTTGACTTTAGCCTATAAGTTATGTTTAGAACATAATGTTATCTGCTCTTCTGACATACTGTGTGAAAGCATTTGTAAATTTGACAGTAAAATTACATTCTTCAAGCATTTGAAATTGGTGTTAACTGTATGCATTTTGTATCAAAGCAACAAGAAATGTCTTAATTGTATAGCCTACAAAGACGGATGCTGTACTGACCGTGTTAAGAGTTTAGGAAACTGTATTGAAAAAAAAAAATGTATTAAAAAAACTGTTGTAGGCAATGTAAAAAAAAATAAAAACTGTAAATAAGGTCACTGTGATGGCCGTTCCAAAATCTTCAGCTTGCATCTTTTAAGAAATCCTATAGTGGATTTCAAGGTAAGTTAAAGATTATTGTCCTCTTAAAAAGAAATGGAAATGGAAAGAAAAAAAACTTTCACATTTTGCAATGTGCGTGTGTGTGTATCTGTGTGTGGTCCATTTTTGACAGCCGCATATGTGTATCTTATCTAGTTTGAATGAGGTGTTTACTTCAATAATATGCTTATGTTTAGTGTTTAGTGTCCACCAGTGTGTGCACAAGGTGGACAAAATATTGAACAAAGTATTGATAAGCTTTAAAATTGCCATTTACTAATGACAGCTGTTGCTATGCATCAGATCTAACAAGTTGATTAAGGTCTAAAACTTATAAAGTGCCCAAACGTTTGCACAGTGCCATGTTAATGTCTTTATTTATTTATGTTCAATTTATGAGATAAGAGATAACTATGCATCAATGTTCGCTGAAAAACATTGTGCATTTTTTCCATTTTTAAGAGAGACTGTGTTAACATCTTTTCATGGATTATTTAAGTTTTCTTTTAGACTGTAGATTGATGTGGGATAATCAATCAATAAAAATGATTTTGGAATAAAACTGAAACATTACAAAGTGTTATAAATGTAAGAGTATGCTACTGAAAACGTATTTGAACACTAATTTAAACCATTATAGTAATATTTTCTTAATATTTGTGTAAAAATCTGTCTTACTCTGAAATATTTCTGCTCCAAACAAAGTCAAATTAAACAAGGTACTTACTTATTTTGTCCACTGCAACTTGTTTAGTCTCCACCCAATCAGATGTTTCTCCATCTAGTTCTGTCCGAACACGAAGTTGGTAAGAACCAAAAATGGTAACATTGTCAGTAAAGTCACAGGTTAGCGATGAGCTGTTTTGACAAACTGGATCATAACCCCTCCACCCTCTAAAAATGAAAAAGAATAAACAAGAATTAATACTACAATTGTATTTATATAACACATTACAACCTAAATGGCTGTATAAGGTTCTTTACAAAAATAAAGCAAAATGACACATTAAAAGGTGCAGTAGGTGATTTTCTTCAGAAACATTTTTTTTGTTGTGCTGGTTGAAAGTCTCTTCACATTCCAATAGTAAAGATTAAAGTAAATGTATTTATATGTATTTTCATATTCTAAGTAAGGCATAAAACTAAAAATGTTCATCCAATTAAATTTTGTAAGGCCGACAATTCACATAATTCTGATAAGTAGGTTTGTACAACTGTGCATCTCTGTTCATGCAGATCTGCCAATTGCGCGTACACATGCTGCTGCTCGTTTATGCGGACACGAGAGAGAGAGAGAGAGAGAAAGAGAGAGAGCAGTCAATACCAATGCTGAATCAAAACTTTTTAAAATCATGAAATCAATATCGAAGTTACTTTTGCACACTGGAAAGATGACACCATGGCTGATGTATTTCTTTTAGACACGTAATGTTATGTTTTAAAACTGTTTTAGTCACGCAAAGCTAATGTACTGTAGATTGTGTTGTTACAAATGGGTTATATGTGCAGAAGTGTAGTTCATTCATTCATTTTCTTTTCAACTTAGTCCCTTTATTAACCAGTTAAACTCTGCTGCTATTTTTGGGATTTCCGCCTGAATTTTGCCTACCAAAATTTAAAAGCTTCCCAAATCCACATGCAGAGTTGTAAATGCAAAAATTTTAAATTTCATAAAACACTATTAAAAGTGTCTAAAATATCTTTATATGTTGTCTGTGTCATAATAAACACCTAAAAAAGAGGTGCTTTTTTGGTATTTTTAGTTTTTTTTAATAAACTCAAATTTGAAAGTGTACCTTTTAGGTTCTGTGTGGTCTAGGGTGCTGTAATTAATTTTGGTGGTTCCTTCACATGTCTGTAGAATGGCCCTGAAGCGCACAGCATGAAGCCTGGTTTATACTTCTGCACCAAGTGACCAGCGTAACCCACGGCGCATGCAACGCCCGTAGCTGTGCATTTATATTTCTGCACGCTGTCTCTGTTGGTTTGCATTAACACTTCTGAAACGCTAGTTGGCAGTGAGGTGTTTATGTTCCTCTGTGTCAAGTTTCTTCGCTGGTGTTTTGCATTTTCTGAATGCTTCCTAAATGTACAAGTGGCTCAAACTCGCTCATTTTGAGGGAGGAACCAGCGGACGAGCAACAACTTTAACTATGAGGTAAACACAAAAAAAAACTTTCCATTTGGAGCTCCTTCACGGAACTCCACACTTGTATACAATCACTCCATCGGGCTTGCGCGGCTCTCGGTCCCGCCCAGACTCATCAGCGTTACCAAGCCGACCAATCACAGAGCTTGCGCTACGCTTTGTTGCGAGGTGTAGTTAAATTTTTTAAGAGGTGCAAATCAACTACGCCGACGGCCACAGAGTAGAGCTATGCGTCAACGCCGTAGCATACGCGTGCGCTTGATGCAGAAGTATAAATCAGCCTTAAGGTAAGAGATGACAGCAGTCTGTGCTATCTTTGGCTGCTTTTTGATCATAAATGTATTGTTTTTACTTCTGCACCATGGAAACATCGCGATTCATTCGATAACTATTTGATATGTGAATATAATTAAGTAAAAAGAATGCTAGAACCATATGAGCATCGGCAAGAGCTTTCATTTGAGCTATAACCTGCACATGTGTCATATATGAACCATATGAAAAATATGAAAATGAACCAATGTTCAATACCCAGCTCGGGTATCCAAAATACTGTGTATTTAAAGGGCACCTATGGTAAAAATCTACTTTTCAAGCTGTTTGGACAGATCTGTGTGTTGGTATAGTGTATAGACCATCATACTGGGGTGATATGTACACACCCAGTCCTTTTTTAATTTATCTACAAATAAAGGGTCAAAACAATTGGAGCTGCTTTTTTAGACCGACGTAGAAAAATAGAAACATTGTAATAAAGCAGTAACCAGTACTGGCTACAGCTAAAGTTTGTTTTGTATGTGGGATGTTTGTTGTGATGTGTATACTGTAATGTTAAGCCGAAATGAATAGCATCTGCGGCTAAAGCTACTTCGGATGTTTGTTTGCGCGTGTTTACTGCTATTGTGCTTTTCTAAAACAGTCTACATACTCTAAGCTGTAAGTGGTAATGTGTACATGAAGAGGTTTTAGCCATTAGAAACAGAAACCGTAGAAAAATAGAAACATTGTAATAAAGCAGTACTACTGGCTACAGCTAAAGTTTGTTGTGTATGTGGGATGTTTGTTGTACTGTAATGTTAAGCCGAAATGAATAACATCTGCAGCTAAAGTTGCTTCGAATGTTTGTTTGCATGTGTTTACTGCTATTGTCCTTTTCTAAAACAGTCTACATACTCGAAGCTGTAAGTGGTAATGTGTACAGGAAGGGCTTTTAGCCATTATAAACAGAAACCGTAGAAAAATAGAAACATTGTAATAAAGCAGTAACCAGTACTGGCTACAGCTAAAGTTTGTTTTGTATGTAAGGTGGTTTGTTGTAATGTGTATACTGTAATGTTAAGCCGAAATGAATAGCATCTGCGGCTAAAGCTACTTTGGATGTTTGTTTGCGCGTGTTTACTGCTATTGTGCTTTTCTAAAACAGTCTATATACTCTAAGCTGTAAGTGGTAATGTGTACATGAAGGAGTTTTAGCCATTAGAAACAGAAACCGTAGAAAAATAGAAACATTGTAATAAAGCAGTACCACTGGCTACAGCTAAAGTTTGTTGTGTATGTGGGATGTTTGTTGTAATTTTTTCACTGTACTTGCACGTGGTCTGCAGTTGTTTACAATAAGATCGGTATGTTTTCAGCAAAGAAAGGTCATTTTAAAAAATGTATGTTTTCTTACAAAGGCCACGACGTTGACACAGAGCAACAAGGTGGATGTTGCTTGCCAGACAGAACCATTTCACATATCTTTACACAGTGTTGGTACGCAGTTGTTGTTTAGGACGCTTCAGGCCAAACGCAGGAGTACAAGTAAGTTAAATTTTCTCTGTTTATTTTAAGTTGCTGCATTAGAAACATTTTTTACTATCTTTATAAACGTGCACTGAGATTAATCATAAAATTACACTATAGGTGTCCAGACAACAGTATCCAGTTTTGAACTGACTGTACCATCAGCATCCTCTACTGCATTTATGACTTCGACACCCCTCAAACCTTCATTAAAAAGACCTCGTCTGAAGCTGGAGGAGGAGGAGGAAGAAGAAGCCGAAGAAACTCTAACAGAGTCAAAAATTATAGCCCAAGACTCGTATGTGACATTTGACCCTGCAGAGGAATACACATCTGCAACTGAACCAACAGACTTGTCGTGAGTTTATGCATTATGTAAATTATTTGCAAGATTGTGTATTGTCATCATAACATTCATCATCTTTTTTTACTTATGTACATGTATATATTTATTTTTACAGAATCCAAGAATGCCCAGTTCATAAGATAGCCAAGTTCATTGTCTATGAAACATGCCTCATGGAGCTCTTCAGTGACTGCCCAGTGTGTCAGAGTAGATGTAATGTAAAGTCACAAAGGCTTGGGACATTTCTTAGCGTACAGCAAGTCTACCCACACTGCGAGTTTGTTAGACAATGGAACAGTCAGCCAATTATTGGTAGTACTCCAGCTGGCAACCTGCATCTTTCCGCTGCAGTGTACTTGAGCGGTGCATCATTTTTTGTAGTTGAAAAGCTAATTATCTATCAAAATTTATCACGTTTCTTTTAGAAACACAATATGAATTTTGTCACAGGGTGCATGCACATTGTACTAAAAATTCTCCTCTCTGTTGTCAGGTATTTGCTGCAATGAAACTACACATTTTTAAACACGATTCATTTCGTCGACATGCAAGACTTTACATTGAACCTGCTGTTGTCCACAAGTGGAGAAATTGGCAGAATGAAATACTAGAACAGCTCAGTCGAAGAGAGAATGTGATCGTTGGAGGAGATAGGAGGGCTGACTCCCCAGGTATTTAGACAAAAGATTTAATTTCTAATTAAATACTGTCTAATAACAAAAATAAATATGAAATACATTACAATTATTCCAAAAATGTGTTTAAAATAATTATGTACGGTTTGTTCTTGAAGGCCACTCTGCCAAGTATGGGGGTTTTACAATGATGGACCTTGCAACTAACACAGTGGTCGACCTACAGTTAGTCCAGGTAATACAGAAAAGTGTTATGTGAACTAGCATAATATTTTGGATGGAAAATATGTAATTTTTTTTTTTTTACCTTATTTAAAATTTTATAGAGTAATGAGGTGGGCGGCAGTTACCATATAGAAAAAGAAGGCCTAAAGAGAAGCCTTGACCTGTTGGATGCCCGCGGTGTTCGTCTGGAATGCATTATCACAGACAGACATCCTCAAATCTAGAAATATCTTAGGTATCGAAATGTCACACGTTTTTTGATGTGTGGCATATCAAGAAAGATATGTAATTTAGCATTCATCCAAGATCAAATTGCCATTTACAGTTCTTACATGTGTTTTATTATTTTTTTGTTGGTCTTTTTTTTCCTTTAATTTCCAGGAATTTCCAAAAAACTGGACAAGATATGTCAGATAAAGCGGTGTGAGAAGTTACGCAAATGGTTACGTAGCATCAAAAACCACATCTACAGGACTGCTGCATCATACACAAACAGTCCTGAAAGAGTGGCAAAGTGGACCTCTATCTTGAACCATGTAAAAGACAAACATGTACATGAAGACCCCAATTTTCCGGCTTGTCTGCATCCGCCACGGATAAGCAGAGACAGGAACAAATGACTGTCGGCTGGTAAGTTGTATACAAACAAATAAAATATTTTTCTTGATAAAACTAATGCAAAACAGAGCTTGTTTCTTTGTTCAGATTTGTTTTCGGTTCAGACTCTAATAACCTAAATACATCTTTACTTCTTCAGCAACGATGCCATTCCACAAGCTGGAGAAAGTTCTTGCTAACAAGAGAATATTAAAGGATGTGGCCAAGCTAAGTCCTCACCACCAGACGTCAACAGTTAAAGCTTTCCACAGCGTCATACTGCGGCTTGCACCCAAAAATGGGGTATTCCCATTTCTGGGGATGCTATGCAGGTAAAGCCACTGATCAGAAATTTATATTTACAATATCATACAGTCTTGTCATGGTACGTCATTTACATTTTTTTCTTTTTGTTAGGTTGAACTTGGCTGCACTGCATTACAATAAAAATGTTGGGCATCCCCAGGCCACATCAGCAACTGGTAAACCCCTTTACAAGCTTGCCTTACCAAAGAAAAAAGAAAGGAGAGTATAGGGTCCGAGAAGTGAAGACACAGCAAATTTTCAGTATGTATATAAATATTCATATTTTTATTAATATTTCAACAAATAAAAAAATATAAATAATTGCACTTTACATTCACAATACACGTTCACTACTCAAAATACAAAATTAAATTACTAAAAAGATAACTGTTATATTGCACAGGTTATGTAGAAGAGCTGCTGGACCTCATCTTCAACGAAGTGTTAGTGGACCCGTCACCCTATGTTAATGAAGTGTTGGGAATTCACATACCACGTGCTTTATCATCAGCTTACGATCGACCTGAGATGGTGGAGGCTATCTCCAGCAGGGTGACCCGCTTCAATCAATAGATATCCTAAAACCCACATAGCTGCCCTGCTCTTCAGGAAACTGTCTGCGAATCTTCAGCACCACACATGCAGGAATCACAACACGGACTCTCCGCCCGAGGAAACCCCAAAACCAGCTCACAAAGCTCTGATAAGCCAAAAAAGCGGGACTGTCTAACAGAGACATAATAATGAAACATTGTTTTAGAAATTGCACTACAATTTGAACTTGGGAGTTAACACAAATACAATTTTATTTTTGATTGAATAACTAGCTTTAACAACATTTCAGAAGTCATATTTCATTTATTCAACTGCCAATGTATGTTTGATATGTTTTTATGTGTTTGTAGATATACTTTCTAATGTTCATGGACAATTGTATTTCATTCAACAAAGTGACACAACTTGGAGTTTATATTTATATTTGCACAAGGATACATTTTGTATATGCCAATCACACTTTAATTTATACTTCAATATAAAGTTTTTATATGACTCAGAAATTGAAGCATCTTTTCTGAAGGTTTAATGTTTCTATGCCATACTGATTTTTATATATTTTTAAGAGTTTTTAAATTAAAATGTTTAGTGACTTTAAAATATTTTTTTCAATAAAAAGTACATACATTACTCAACATTTTATGAAATAATTCAAATTGTCATTTCAGAAATAGCAGCAATAAAAATAAGGTACGTATTTCATTTCTATTGACATTGAGGTAAAGTTGGTTTTATATTAATAATAATAATAATAATAATAATTCGTTACATTTATATAGCGCTTTTCTGGGCACTCAAAGCGCTTTACACAATGGGGGGGGAATCTCCTCATCCACCACCAGTGTGCAGCATCCACCTGGATGACGCGACGGCAGCCATTTTGCGCCAGACCGCACACCACACACCAGCTGATTGGTGGAGAGGAGACAGAGTGATGATATGCCAATCATGATATGGGGAGGGTTAGGAGGCCATGATGGACAGAGGCCAGTGGGCAGATTTGGCCAGGATGCCGGGGTTAAACCCCTACTCTTCAGATATTCAGACATTCTCTTTAATACTATCATTTCAGAAAAGTATTCTTTGCAAATTCTAAATAGGGAAATCTTGTTAGCAGCAAATGACAAAGTAGAACATTGTTTACAGTAAATTAGATAGTGTTAATGTTGTTTACAAGTCATACTTGCATGCTAAATCCAATCGAATGTTCAAAGTACCATGGCAAACAATACAGGGACTTCTGAATGTGCGAATATAAAACCAACTTTATCGCTATTTTATTGACTACACAGTGTAATGTCCTTAAAAAGAACGCGAGCATGCAGATCATGAACATCTACAAGGTAACCTGCTATTCTTTCTATTTATTTAAACTCACTTTTGCACATCACAAAGTCGCAGGGGACCTCGCAGGGGAAGTCTGCTTTGTATATATTCGATGCATTTTGCAAGGAATAAATATTGAAGCAAACGGGATCCATTCCTGGATGCTCCGTCATGCATGAGGGTTGCACTTCCAGTTGATCCATTCGTCTTCTAACCTTATTACACGACACATAGTTTTGCTGTTTATTATCTCATTCGATGTCTTTAGAGAAGCAACGTTAACATAAACTGGAAATTAACTTGCGGTACCTCTTTGCAGCATACATTTTCAGCATCAATTGGCATTTTTTCACAATTGTCACACAAGCACCTGCCAATATTTGTCAACGTCAATATTTATGAATTACAAATAAATCATACCAATGCAAAATTTATCTTTGTGGAAATCTTTATGTCTTGTCTGTGTTTGTTGAAAGACCTGTGATGTGGCGCACGACGTTCGCTAACTTTATCAAACAAATTACGGATGACGCATGCATCATTACATAGCGGCTGTAAAAGTATAAAAAGACATAAATTATTTTGTATGTACCACTCTGACACATTCTGGCAAATTCGGATTATAGATTCCTCAACAGTCGACTCTGCTTGTTCTGTGTCCGAGTCTGGGTCGTACATGTACAGCTGAATGCTGTTCCTCTCACTCATGTTGACTCTTCCTGTCTGCCTGTGTGATGCAGTGAACAAAGCAGAGGCGCTTTTGGCTCCGCCCCCTTGTTACGTTGGGCGGGCAGTCGAAACTTATTATCATGTTAAGCAACACACCCCAAAACAGCAACCTGTGTACACGCCTCTAAATTTACACTTTTTAACATAGCATAATACCAATATCTGAATTGCGTTTTGATCTGAACCTACATTCGCACACTCAGAAGAACCATAATATTAGTATTAAATCTCAAAAAAGGGCTAAACTATGTGCCCTTTAAGTGTAAATAACTTTTGTACAGTAGAATAAAAAAAGTGATGCATACGTGCATAAAATATAAATTCTACACTTTCAAATGAAACCACTTATGGGGGTCTGGTGCAACGCTAGCCCTTTAAATCTTAAAGCAAAACTCGATGACGTCACGGACCCAGTACCGGGTCCGCAAAGTTTAACTGGATTTAACAACAAAACATAAGCACATAGCACTATTCTGCCTAGCCTACTTTACTGAGAGATGGTTGGTTTTATATTCAAATTGGTTTATTTTTCAACAGTGACAACCTGTGATGTGCTCACTATATTGTTTACCATGTTACTTTGAATATTCGGTCTGAAATAGCATGCAAGTATGGCTTAGTAATAAGTGTAATTCCTCCACATTGCCGGCCAAGCACTAAGCAGAGTCGCTTTAGGACAGCATGTGAGAGAGGATTTTCTGCTTTAATTTTTAAGGTGCAGTTGTTTCGTGTTTCAGGAGGCATGGCTCTGGATGGCAGGGGAGGGACTGTGTTTCAATGATATTATGCTAACTGGTTCACAGTATTTAGAAAACAATAATTGTCATGGTTCGTAGGTTCTGGAGAATATCTTTTTAGCTGAAATAAGGTCCAAAATACCACATTGAATGGGCCTTACATTTGAGTAACCAGTCTTGTAGGCTAGAAAATTTACTTCACAATTATGTGAAAATTATTCAGTTCTCTTATTCAAAAAACATTACAATGATTTACATAACGAAGCGTTTTGAAAAATCCGAAGAGGCCATTTTCATTTTAAAACGCTGCTGTTCTTAGTGTGGATGAGGGATCTGAGCTTTTACCTCAATGTTAAGTAGCCTACACACAGTTCAGTCTTGCATCCTTTGCTTGTAAGTTCAGACTTCGCAAGT